CAAGTGATGGGAATCAGCAGAAAGCTGTGTCACATCTTGTCCCTGTGCAAAAACTCAAATTTAGCCTTTTAACCAGGCAGTATCTATGCATACTCTAATCACTGCCAGCATAAAGCTGTGCACAGTGCTTGGATTTGGGCTCCAAAACTCATATCCCACCTCATCTCATGGCAGCTCAGGAAGCACATCCTGGAGAATGCAGTATCAGCTTCTCCTTAGCCCTTGCACTACAAGGAGGAAACAGTGGGAGCTGAGGGTCAGAAGCATGGAGGACACATTTGTTGTGTGTTTAAGCTGTGTTGCTGAAGATGTTTTGCTCTGCTTTGCATGTGTGCCTGTTCCAGATGGTTTTCCTTGTGTTTAAAAGAAATAGGCATACTTAAAATCTACTTTACAAAACCTCAGCAAATTAACACTGATCTTTTCCAGACAATTCTTCAAATCAATGTTCTGCAAATGCCTCTTCACAGCATGCAAAGGTTTAGATACGCTGGGAACTGGCTCTGCAAAGAATGCTCTCTAACAAGAGGAATTTAAGCACTGAAACCAGTTCAATTTGCCGCTTTTTGATTTTAATATAAAAAGAAATCCTTTCTGCAAGGAAAGACTCAGCTTTCATCACCAGAACCCTAGCACAGACTTCACAGGCTAAACCACTTCACAGATAAGCACTCTTCATAAACAGGACACATCTCTTGGCTTGCAGAGGTTCTGGAGAAGCAAAGAACAGGCTGTGCTGACATCTGGTGGCTTTCTCTGCAGGCAAAGAGTTCATGGCAATAGGTCCTGGCTCTTCACTGCCCTTTTTTTTTTTTTCTTTTGCTTTCCTGATGTAACTCCTTCATTTCCTTACAAGATTCAAAGCATTATGATATAAACATTTTTGTTTCCACTGACTGGGGGACAGTGCTGTCCTGTGCAAGTCTTGCTGCAAAGCAAGAAAAGAGCCTTTGTTGTGCACTATTAACTACAGGGTAGAAAAAGTCTCTATATCAAAGCATATTTTTTCATGAACAAATTTTAAAAAGTGTATATTCACTGCCACAGGAAATGCTGCTATTGCATATCAGATGAGGTGCAAACCTCACCATTAAGGCACAAGTGGCAGCAAGAAGCAAAGGGAAGTGGTTGGGGAAACCTTCGAAGCTGTGTCTGTGTCTCTGTCTCAACAGGAAATGGGGAGCAGAGAGAAGTCAATATCCTGATAAAATGAAAAGCAACAAAAGTTGTCTACTGGGCGTTTCTTGACTCATTAATCACTTGCAAATCTGTGCCAAGCAGTTCTATGGAAAGGAAGCAATGGAAGGGGGATCTGTTGCCAGCCAGGAAGCCTGAGCTCAGTCCAAGCTGTTCAATAAACAAAAGTGTGCAGTGCCTCAGGCGTTTGTAATGCCTCCAGTCATCTGCCCACCCTGTATCTGGGATCCCATCAGTCACACAGACCAAGAACGAGCATCCTATGCTCTGGTTTTAGCTTCCTGATCTTTGGACACTCTGGATTTCTGTGGCTATTAGCTTCCAAGGACAGGCCATGGGTGTTCCGTCACAGCTGTGGGAACTCTTGGACTGCTCCTTGCAGGCTCATTTTTAAATAAGTGATCTGTCAGGGGATGTTAAATACTGCCAGGGAGCGAAAGAGAAACACCACAGCTTACAATGCATTTCTGGATCACCTTTAAGTCACAATGTTTACATCAGATAAAGCAGTTAACTGTAAAAGTGGTGCTATCGGATTTTTGAGTTCTCCTTTATGCCATTGGTCAACTCAGCTGTCCATGTCAGCAGATTTTTCTTAACTCTCGCTTCTTCAAAAGGCAACATAACTACCTCTGGGCAGAAAAAGAATTAAAACTGTTGGATGCAGAAAGTTTAAGGACAAAAGCCAGAAAAACAAACAGTGACAAAGCTAGAAAAAACAAGATGCCTATTGAGCAGTTCATTAATTCAGTTCCAAAATTATGAAAAAGCACCACTTTTATACCTTTAGTTGTACAGAAAGCAGCACTGCTCTGGTATCTCTGCACCAAGAACATTGCACATGCAGATTTTGCTGTTTATTTAGTTACACTGTTACCTCTACTTCCTATTTATGATAATAGGAAATTTATGATAATTTCCAAATTTCCAAATTTCCTCTCCTTCAGCTTTCACACCTCCTAATCAAAACTCCAGCCTCTCTGAAGTGATTTTTTTCTCTAAGAAACAGCCACGACTGACACACCACCCCAGGGTTCCAGTTTGACTGCCTTTCCCTGCTGCACTGTTATAAACCAGGATAAAATTTATCTTATTTCACAGTCCTCTCTGGATATTGCTCTTTTGTTTAACAAAAAGATGGTGAGTGGTTCCAAGAACATCCCAGTGTAACACGAATCCTTATTAACCCCACAATGCCTAAGACCACTGGCAAAGCAGTATGACTTACCCCACTGCCCCTCTGATTAAAAGCAGCTCTATACCAATGCAGTTCATGATCTCTGCCAGGATAACAAACCACAGCACTAGCTCTGTGATTTCCTTCAACAGAAAGAGGATTTCAAAACAACATGGGCAATGACATCTCAGTCTTTACTAATTTATTAGCCAGTGTTCAGAGATTTCATTTAGTACTCAACAATCCTGGAACCAAATATACTTTGATACAAGGTTGTACCATATCCCACCAAAAAAAATTTTGGAACAGCATCTTTCCTAACAAGTTTTCACTTATTATCTGTGGTTTTGTGGGGTTTACTTGAAAGAAGCATTACTGAAAGTCACCAAAAAAAACTTAACAATCAAATCAATTTAAAAAAAACACAGCAGAGAAACACTTCAGGAAGAAACCAGTTTACAAGTATGGCCATTGAGAGCATTACAAAAGGCTCCACTGTGCTGCTGGAGAAAGAAGCCAATGAAGTGCCATTGCCAGAGTGAACTGAGCTCACAAAGCAGTAGTTTAACTCTTCCCTTGGAAAGACAAATTAATCTGGAGTGCCAGTCACATCATTCTTGAATATCTGCAGTAGAACACTTTCAGTTTTTCTCCCTGATGCTGTAGAATTGCTCTTCCACTGTACCACACTTGATGTGACACTGCAGGTTTGAAATTGTACAAGCCCAGAAAGGACAATTGTTAAAATCTGGTGACTCTTTCAAACACAAATGCTTTAGAGAAAAGGGATCACAAAACTAATCCAAATCTGTCTGGAAGGGCTGGAGACCAAATTCAGTCATGGTCAGTCTGAGAGCCTGCATGTGCTGACAGACACCATTTAGATGCCTTGGGGCATCTAAAGAGACACTGAGACACTGATGTTTCTGGTACACTATCTGTTCTTACAAAGTTACCTTCCTTATTGTAAATTTGGCCGAATAAAGATGAGATAGTCTGGAGTGCAACGCATCAGCCTGAACTGTCTGAGAAGATGAGCACAAACTTGTATTAACCACATAAATCTGCAAACATGACAGACTGTAAGAAGGCTGAACGTGGGCCCATGTTTGGGGAGCAGGTACCAGCAACAGAGAGGCTGCCTGGACAGAAAGAGAAGGCAAGAAGTAAATTCTCCTCATAAATTCATCAGGGCATGCATAATGGCATCTACATCCCAGGAGAACATAGGTGACTTCAGTGACACAGGACTTCTCCTTACAAGATAAAGATACAATAATTTAATCACAGTTGAGAAAGTGGTAGAGGTCTTTCACTACAGAATAAAACTCTGAAGCAAAGCTGTTGGTGAGTAAAACAGCCTAAACCAGAGAGTTGTCAGGAAGGATGAAGAAAATGAGGTGGGAACAATACACAGAGCATTCTTTGGCCCTACATCTAAAACAAAGGGAAATTTTACTTAGATACTTTGGAAAGCACACATGTCAATAAAAGCAATAATCAAAGCTCTAGGAAATGGCAGGGTTACTCCCCCAGGAAGTCTCATGGATTGTCAGCCCTCACCCAGAGCTCAGCACAGTTGTGTAGGTCTAAAGCAATTGCACATGAGGTCTCATTCAGTTCAGCAGAGCCTGTGCCCAAAAAGCCTGCTAAGGCAGAGAGCCAGCATCACTCCTATTTCAGTGAGGGGAGGCTTAAAGGCACAGTGTCCCATGTTGGTACCCCCTGAAAAGCATTTCATAAATGATGGCTACCTAAAAGTACTTTATTGGATGCATGATTATTTTCTATTATTCTTAATTTGGTCCATGTAGTAGGAAAGCCCAGCATTACCAAGAACAAACACATAGCAACGGAGTATTTGGCTCATGGAAAGCATAAAGGAATCAATTCCAGTCCTGAAGACATGTGGCTCACAGGCTGGGCCTCTCCTCACAAAAAATGCAATCATTCAGGTTTTATTCTTAAAACTGAAACCATGAGCTTTCACTCCACTTGGAAAAATGCCCAGTTCCCACTTAGGCACACTGATGTCCTGGCAGAACTCGAGCTGCCACCCCTATGTGAAGGTGTCTCCATGAAGAGAAGCTGGAAACAGGCGAGCTGGTCTGTGGACACAAAAGCCTCCCAACAGACATTTGTCCCTTTCAGCATGCTAAAGAGGGCTGGAAGAGAGGAAAATGGTAAGCATTCACCACTGTAAAGCATGAAACACTGGCCAGTCTGCACTATTTAAACAAAAGAGACCAAACATAAAATGAGAGAAGTAAAGCTGTGACTTGAAACTGAGAGATTCTCTTCTCAAGTTCTTTGAAATACCCAATGATTTGGTCATAAAATGTTTCATTTCATTTGAAGGAAGTTTCATGTCATTTTCATTAGAAGTTAGTACTGTGATGGGATCATCCTGTGCATTCTATAATTTCCACATGCAGTTACTGTCTGCTGTGGGATCACACCAAGAACGTGTGTCACGGGTCAGGGATGGCACTGCCTGGGGCTCAAGGGCCAAGCACAGCAAAAAGAGAAGGGAGGAAGAAAAAAGTCATTTATGTCCCCCAGTTTTTCTTCTCTCAGCCTTAGCATACTGACAGAAATTAATTTCTATAGGAAGGGAATTGCACTGTTTGCAAAGAAATCCTCTAGGATTTATTGATCTTTAAGAAAAATCTCATTAAGCAGAATAAGGAAAATTTACAACAGGTATGGGAAAACAAAACAATCTCTTGGGATCTTCACCAGGCCGAAACAGGATTAGTTCTGTAGTTTCTGTAATCTTCCCCACAGAAGAATGCTAATTCCGTCTCATTTTCTAGAAGGAATAAAAAATTAAATATTTAGCACACCAATAAATGAACCACCAACAGCCAGCTACTTAGAATCTTAGAAGACAATTAGCAACTTTATGGTCAAAGACAATTATAAAGCACCATATGTTTTTTTTTTCTTCCTCACAATATTTTTGAAAAAGGTTGCCAGTATTAAAGATGTTGTTAAACCTCATTAAAAAAAAACACTCCAAACAAACAAAACCACCAAGAACATGAATGTATAGAAGTAAATATGTACACAAGACCCCTCAAGATCTGTTTAACACAGTCTTCAGAATTGTTTGTAAAAGCATTCAGCAAATTAAGTGATTGCATTTCCAACACCTTCACATGCTAGGAAAGTAATGAAGCGTGATACACTCTTTTTTTGTGCATTTTTCTGTTAGGAAAGGGAGAAAGAAACTTCTTCTTCCCATTAAATTAGCCTGTAGGTATAATAATTTAATACTTAGAGGATCAGTAGAATATTTTACAGATCACTTTACATTCTCCCTCATGACCCATCAAAATATGTGTCTGAAGAAGTTAATTTTTTGCCCTGCTGATGATTAATTCATGAGGCTTCGACAATATGCAAAGTGAAAGACACAAATTGGCTTCACCAGCAATACCTTCAAATACCTCTAATTATTCACAGGGGAGATGGCAGAGCTAAAGGACCCACAAAGGTTCAGAACAGTCACAATTCTTTCAACCCAGTAGGTCAAGGACTTCCTCTTCTAAAACAATAAGTCAGCAACATTACTAATTCAGAACAGAGACAAATCTGATGGAATGCCTTCACAATTATTAAACATGAAATTCTTTAAGGTGCTGAGCCAATAAATTCCACATTCGTTTTTTAAATTAAACCTCAAGTTAATGAAGTCTGCCTGTCTTGTAAAAAAAAAGAAACAAAAAAGAGTAGAAGGGATTTTAGAATCTCAACTAGAAAACAGACAAGACTATTTGTAATGAATACTGAACACTTTATTAACATACACCCTGCTTTAAAAAAAATATGCAAGCATTAACTTTGCTGACTGGATAATAACTGTAATAATAATCACTACTACAGAGGCTTTCCTGAGGATACTTATCTAATGTCCTCATAATTTATAACTCTCTAGCCCAACCCTGTATAGTGCCAAGGGCAATCAACTGCAGCTTAGGAAAAATGTTCTGCATGTATCAGAATTTCCCAGATTTTCTAATGGTGATTCTGACTGTTTTATTCTAGTAAGTCTTGTGCAGACTGGATGTTGAAAAAAAAAAATCATATCTCAATAGGAGATTTCAAATTTTCTTGCTGATTTAAAGAAAATGTACAAAATTTACCATTTTGTACAAAGTGAGGACCAGTGGTACATGATACATGGTATCACTTCCTTGGCTCCCTCTTTTCTACTTCTTGTTGAAGGAGAAAAGTAAAATCTTCAAGATTTTACTACAAAGACCCCACTCCTAACTTAGCTAATTTTCATGTCAGGATACACTGGAACATATCCAAATTCAAAATGGCATAATGGCACATTGCATTTTCCAAAGAATGGGTTTTCCTCTTCTATCACAAATATCCTCTGTATACTAATGACTAATAACTGCTGTTATTCCAAAAAAAGCAGCTTTAAATAATTTCCTGGCCTAAATGAACCACCCCTCCCTTTGTACAGTGACACAGAACAGGCTGCTGCACTCCTATTTCCTTTCAGTGTAACATTTAGTCTGATGTTTTGACACCTTTTCTGAGATCACATCCAACTGTTTCACTGCTGTAGCTACAAACCCAGTTGCAAAGATAGATAACATACGCAAATACTTATCCATACCTTTTTGAAAGAAGACAGCTTTATTGTTTCTAATTGAATATTTGACACTGTCATCAGTCCCTCTCCTGAACTGCACTGCCTCTTATGCCTTACATAGATAAAGATCATGGTTAAACGAATCTTCTGCTAACTAAATTACAAATCTGTAAGGCTTGGGTGCCAGTAACCCTCACTTTTTTCCCCCTCATCGTGCAGACAAAAAGACCTGGTGTGTAGTAAAAACTATGATTCATATTACAAGAACACTCAAAGACCTTTAGAAAAGGTATATTGCAACCAGTTGTAGTTCACACCAGAGAAAAACATTGAAGAGACATCCCAAGTCACTTAAAACCAGAAAATAAATGGCAGGGAACAGGAGAGCCAAGTAACCTACAAGAAAGAAATCCCATTCATTAGCTGGGGAGCAATCAGTGAGCACCAGGAGCAGGAGGGAGCCTCCTCTGTGAAGCCCCAGCACTTAGAGCACAGGCAGTTAAATCAGATTTAACTTTCCAGCCAGGCAAATCAGATTCAAATGAGCAAATGTCCATATCAAGGTGGAATGCAACCACATCCCCTAAGTACCCTGCTGCCACAAAGTCATTCAGCCACATTTATGAGAAGCCCAAAGGACATCCAGGGACCATCAATTTTATCATGACAGACATTTCTTTACATTATTACCAAAAGACATGCCCTATATGTAGTCTCCTGTCAAAATGTGAGAAATCAGGTCAAGTTTCAACTCTTTGCTATGTTCAGCACATTCTCTAAATGATACTGCTCGAGCTTTCCTGAGCGATCTGGCTATCAGACACTGGATGCTGCACATTAAACAAATCTAATCTTATTTCATTATTCCATGCTGGTTCCACTACTTACACTTCTAACCAAAACATCAGTTTAAATGTTACTGATAAGACTAAGCAGACACGGTACTAATAACCTATCTGTCAATCATTTAAAATTACTCTCAGCAGAATTATAAGCATACCCTCTAAAAATCACAATTTGCATTCTGAACATTTGGAGTGCAGATACCTGCTGCCCTCAGACCAATGATTTGAATAATGCTTCCCTGAATAATTATCAAGTCGTGTAAAGAGCATCAGGAATAGCATTTACTTTTCAGCAGCCTGTCCAAACATAATCAGCCAGCTATCAGTTTAATGCTACCACAAGGAACAGCATCTTCAGTCAACACAAATGTACTCCTACCTACTCCAGCTGCTTTCAGCGTGCTGTCTTCCTTCAAAATCAGTTTGTCATCATCTTCCAAACTCACTACAAGCTCACCAGTCTACAAATCAGAGAAGCAGAAAACAAAGACAAGAATTTACTGATTTCCTCTGCTCCAGTCTCGTTTGACAGTGCACAGACCTGCCTGCATCAAAGCATGCAAAAGGGGAAGAACACAGCTAATAATCTTACCTTAGATTTGTGTGCTTGGTGAATAATCTTCATTGTATCTGAAAGAAAACAGTGTTTTCCTAAAATAAGGCTTAATAAGCACACAACACTTAAAGCTGTACTTGGGGAAAAACAAACAAACAAAGGGGGAAGGTTCAAAATCTTTTGTTATTAACAATCTTGTGTATTCAACCTGAAAGAGGAGAAAACATCTTAATCTCACAGTCCTGCTGCCACAGCCTTAAAGCAGTCAATGCAACATTAAGGTACCACATCCTATTGGGCTTCTGTCTGCTGGCTGAATTACAATAACCAACTAATGACCATCTCAATTGCCAGTCAAAACACATCAATTTAAATGCCACTTAGGGTGTTTTAACTTAATAGGTTTTACACATGCAATTGGGGCAGGACCAACAGCATTTATGCACTGTCAACTGCTGCAGCTAAGTTGATAGGCAGCAAGTAATTAAGACACAGTAACCTGACCACTTCAGATCATCCCTTGAAATTTTCCTTCCCATGAATACAACACCCACCATCCACAGTAGAAATTTCATTAAGCAAGTTCATTTTACATGAACTTCTACAGCCTCTTCTCTTTAATGCTATATCCTCTTCAAAAATTTTTATTTTACGTTTGTGTAGTGTAGTGCTTTTAGAAATTAAAAAAAAAAGGTACCACTTTCTCCTGGCAACATGGGCAGGGCTTTGCTAAGAGGAGGGAAACACAGGGGAAAATAACACAGTCATTAAATCAACTGGATGAGTGCAAAGATCCAGAGGGAAGAGTTGAAAGCCAAGCAACACTATAAAAAAAAAAAAAAAAAAAAAAAAAAAAAAAAAAAATAAAATCTGAAGCATCTTTT